CTTATAAACACAAAAAATGTGTCCTGTTTTGAAATCAGTTAAAATAAGTAAAATAATGCGTGATGAAAATCAAGCTATTGTCTTAATTTCCAATGCACATTATTTTGTTGAAACTTTCTTGACGCAAAATATAATATTTCAATAAAAATCTAATTGACATTAAGATAGAAATATAAAATTTTAAAATTGCCGCTAAATCGCCTGAATCGCATTCATTTACCTCATTTCAATTGACAGTAGTAGTCGTTGTGGTTGAAATTATAACACTAACTGACAGCTGTCACATTATCGGTTAATGACGCATTGGTTCTATTAATAAATAGAACCAATACTGCCTTGCCAATCAATTTTAATATACCTATGTAAAATATGTTTTTAAACATTACAATTAATTAGTATATAAACACTACATTCTTGTTATAACTGCCATCTAGCATTAGAGATTTAAGTTCTAAGAATGATGTTAAGGTCTATCACTACTCATTTACGTGTATTCTCGTTCAAACTAACATCTAATCCTTGGTTGGTTGTTTTTACCAATTCAATTACCCTTCTATGCTTTTATCAAGCATTGCTAATGTGTCTAACATTTAATATTGACGAGTTTAAATCTAATAATTCAGCATCCATAATTAAAATCATTCCTTTAAAGATTTATTACCACGTCTGTAGTTTTAAATGACTGTGAACAATGAACGCTTACAAAACTGCCACTAAGTAGTGTCCTGAAGAACTCGAAACTGATGTCTAATTTTACTGTGGGAGAGCCAGGCAGCACATATGGGCCAGCTCGACCGGAGTAAAATCACGACCTTACAAGAACACCGGTATTAAGCAATTTTTTGGTAGCTTTTTCCCCTTCTGGGAGGAGGGACACTCAAGGGGCAGCAATCCAGTTGTGTTGTGAGTTGAATGTATCCATGGGCGCTCGTAGTCACTAACCATCGGTACTAGTAAGCTCGTTTGCCCCCTATTCCATAAAAAAATATTACTCACTTTATACGCTACCATTTTCTATATAAATATGTCGTTGCGTAAGATGTTCGAGAATTTAGGGGTAACATGAAAATGCCCTTGTGTGTATTTCTACGGAATTATAAGTCCTGGTTTGTTTACTTCCTATATTATTCCAAAGAAAGTATCTATATTTTAAGTAAGAGTTTTTCCTATTTATTTAGTTTTATAATTTAGTTATTTTGTGTATCTAATCTATATAATCAATATCTCAGGATGACAGAGAAAATCTTGTTTAAACATACAACAAATATTAAATAAGTACTTGTGAATTAAGGAAGTTCGGACGACAAGGCCTATTTTAGACTGCACAATATTTATTAAATGATATTTTATGTTTAAATATCTGTTGTGAATATAAGTTTCTTGTAGCAAACATGTGAATTCAATAAAACATTGAACAAAGACGGGCCTGATGGTTTGGCGGTTAGTGAACCTGACTGCTAAACCGGAGGTCGTGGGGCAATTCCCACCCAGGACAAATATTGTGTGATGAGCACAGTTATGTGTTCTGTGTCTGGGTGTAATTTATATATAATATGTATGTATTTAAATATATATAAATATGTTTATCAGCAGTCTGGTTACCATAGCACAGGCTCTGCCTAGTTTGGGATCAGATAGCCGTGTGTGTGATGTGTTAGGTACCTTATTATTATTTATTATTAATTACAGTAATTCGTGACAATAGTAGAAAATAATATTGATATTAAGCATACAATTTCTTATAAAGGTTTGAAATTGTAATGATTTTTTTTTGTACTGTATACCATTTAATATTATTTTTAGGATTTCCGAAATCAGAAAGTAGCTCGTGTTGTATAATTTTAAACTTAAAACAATTATGGCACGCTTCCCAAAAACGTATTTAAGTTACCATATATAGTAGTCCCACTGAGCAATTTTTGGTCACGGCTTATTTTGAGATACGGAATAACTTAGGTGGCTAAGTAATATGAGATTCTATGTTCTTTTCTGACTTTTTAAATCCATGTTTAAATCAAAAAGTTTCTTTTTTATATTTGGGGTTTAAAGGCTTTTGGGTATAAAATAATAATATTATATTCCTTATTATAATAGTTTAATTGAGATCGAATTAAATCTATGTTTTTTTATTGATGAGTAATGTTTGTTATAAAAATATTATTTGTTGGTTTTGGAACTTAAACTAGATATTTCGTATGCATATGTAATATTTAGTACAATTTAATTAATAGGTCTTTAGGTGAATATATTTTGAATTTTAAAAGGTTCGGTTGTGGATGCAATCAATGATTCTATTGTGTTGTTTTGAGTTGCCTTTGATAAATGATTTATTAAAAATTCCAATACAAGTAGATGCGAATTTTGTGTGTTTTATATTTTTTGTACTTAATTTCAATTTTGAATAGTTTTATGATCAGGCTGGAAGCACACTGAGCTGCGTGCTCCCTATTAATAAGCTATCACTTAGAATCAATATATAAACTGAAAACGGTTTGCCTAGATACAAAATAACTATATAGATATATATATAAATGGCGGTTATATGCTGAATATAAATACACCAGCCGTTAAATTCAAGTTGTACACAACTTCTTTAAACTGCAAGCCATTAGATTTTTATGATCACAGGCAGTAGGTTTACATCATGACTTACAATTTCGTATTTGTTGTGTAGTTGAAATTAGTCTCGATTTGATTTTGTAATTTTTTTTAATACTAATGATTACTAGTGTCTATCTTGCCATCTAAAAATAATTCTCAAAAAATCAACTAGCCATAATAAGTATTGACATTTACATTAATTTCTGTATTTGATGGAATCAGTTTGCTATTGTATATGTATAGTTATTTTCCCTTTGTGCTTTCACAATATTGGTGTAAATTTCTTAAGTCGAGTGATAGTCTCGATATCGTGAAAATACGTGTCCTAAAACCCAATTGTAACATATTATATTATAAGTACAAAATTGTTCTACGAGTATATTATTTCACTCGACTGACTCACACACACAATAGGGCGAGCTAAATAAAAATAGTTCTAAAACATAAACATGTAAAATATTGAAACTGTCAACTAACGTCGAACACAGCGCCTCTGCACGTAAAGCAAGGAACTAAAAGTTCTTCACTTCGTATATACGTAATTATGTAAAATAGGGAGAATAGGAGTTGAAATGCAATTAGTTTTGATTGATAATTAAATATTTGTTATTCAGACATTGCTTAGCATACTTGTTCACCATTTTTCTTTAAACAATAATTTTTTTTATTTCATTTTTTTCTTAATATTGAACAAGGTATGTTTAAAAAACAAAACGGGAGAAAACAATATTCCCAAAGCTTTCTGAAGACGATATCAAGGCTAACTCGGTTAAGAAAATTGTACACACGTAGTATTTTGAATGTAGAACACATTCAAAATAATAGTGACAGTTGTAAAACGAATATAACGATAAACTAAAACCTTGTTTTGTAAATTATTAAAAATATGACTAAAAATACAACTGACATTACCGCAAAGAAAACGTTCACGTTCCTTGGGTATTTTTAAATAAAAACTTTTTGTTTCACTCGTTTTTTTATTTTTCTCTAAGATAATATGTTCCTTAGTAGGCCAAACCCCCCTTTCTAAGGAGAGGCCCATGTCCAGCAGTGGACTGTTAAGGGCTGTTGATGATGATGATGATGATGAATATGTTCCTTTGTTCATTTTTATAGGTATATTTAATACATTAAAGTTCCTGAAAAACGATCTAAATATTAATTTATTAACCACACCACAATTTCTCGTTTATTTTTCAATAGCTGTAGCCGTTATTCTACTGCCGCTTACAAGCACATTAACGAATGTAAGTGGTGTACACAATGTGCCGATGTTTTCAACGAAGATGACAAGAGAGTAAGAGTGGGAGTAGATTGGATTTGGATCGGTTTGTAACTTTTACTTCATTTGATATTTTGACGTTATAGCATAGCGAAAAAAGCAAAAACTGATTTTTTTTACATAAAATTCAGGTGGTTTTTAATATTTAGTTGAGAATACATATATGTGTGGACACTAGGCACTGCCTTGTTTTTCTTATTCTACCTTGGCGAGATGCTTTACGGTATACGGGGCAGTCATATTACCTAATAATTGTACAAAAATTAAATAAATAAATAAAAAATAAAACAATATATTGTTACCCAATATATTATTGTCGCAATCACGAAAATTGCCAATTTACCTCAAATGCTGGAGAGAGGCGGCGCTATTATTAAGTTTGGCGACAGGTGTCAAAACTTTCATCTGATACAACAGTCTGTTGGCGTATCTAGGCGAGACTTAGTCAATAAAGTTAAAATATGTAATCAGCAAACAAGAACGTTTCTTTGTTTTACGATAAAGATAATATTACATTTATTTTGTTCGATAGGGAAACTACACTAAAAGTACTTACTGGTTGTTACAGCTTAGAGATATCTTAAACAATACGTAAGAGTTACAACGCTTTAATAATTAAAATCAACATGAATTGGTTTTTAGTCAAATATCTACATTACTATGAACACCATGATAATAGCCGGTCTCTTACGGTGTTTATATAAGAAGCAAAAAGAGAAACTATTTTTTTTTAAACATTGCACCAAAAGCTCAGTGATTTTAAAACACTATGTAGATTAGTAATAGGATTTTGATGAATTTGATCAAAATTCCCGAACGAAAATAAAATTAACTGACACAACATGACAGTAAGTCAGATTACCAACATAACGTTAAGAAATTTGGTAGACGTCAAAATCACGAGTTATCAGTTGATAAGAGATAAAATAGTAAACACGGTAAGTTATTTTAGAATAATCGAAAATAAATGTCAAATACACTGAGGAAATATATGCTATTAGAATAATAGATATCTTCCAAAATGTTTTAGGTATGTGAAATCAATATGCAAACAGAAACGAACACATCCTCTTATTAAACATTATTTATTTAGTAATAATCTAAACCTAAAGAAAAAATGGATATAAACAAGTTACCGTTGGAAACTCTAGCAGAAATACTTATGAAAACTGATGGTTTTACACTAGGAAAATGTCGAAGAGTGTGCAAAAAATGGAAGGCAGCCATTGACGAAATGGATTATGTTTGGGATAGAATATGCCAAAAGGAGTTTCGTAATGCATCTTGGATAGCTAAAAAGAAATCCGGTAACGAATGCAGGTGGTACCATCTTTATAAGAACTTGAGCAAGTGGTCGAAAGTAACTACATTTGAAAGCAATATGCGGGAGTTTTACAAATTTTCTTTACACGATAAATCACACGCTTTAGGTATTGATTACAGCGTTCTACCTTTAAAAGATACTAGAGGTATAGTTCTCTATGATATGTCCACATTGAAGTACATACCAGTGGCTGTTCCAGAGAAGAGTTGCTTAAAAATTGCAAATAATGACTATGCTACGGTTATACTTTTAAAATCAGGAATTTTACTGCAAAGGACAGTAGAACAATTATCATTTATGACTGAAGCATTTTTCAAAGCTGACAATTTTGTGCTGAGTGGAGAAGAATTATATTTTGTTAACAATAGAGATATATACAAATGTGATCTATCTAAACCCAATTTGGAGTCAAAACTAATGCTACATTGTGACTATGATATTAAAGAAATTCAATACAATTCTGGTGTAATGATTGTATTTACCGATTGTGGTAAAATTGTCAGTATTAGTAATGATAGATCTGTGTCTGTTAAACCTATAAATTGTCCACCAGCATGGGTAAAGCAGATCAAGCATATATGTGCAATTAATGAAAATAACTATGTATGCTATTCGAGAATGTTGTTCCAAATTGAAACTGACCAATATAGACATCTATACTTGGATTTTCCACCAATCACAGCATTGTTCTTTTATGGAGATTTTATTCTAATTGGTACAAGAGCTGGTGAGATCTTATTGTACAGACTGTCCAGTCAGATCTATAAGGCAAAGCCAATTTTTGAGACTATAGCCCAGTTGCCAGAAGGAAAATTTGCTGTCCATTTGGATGTGTGCGAAAGAAGAACTGGTCCAGTTATGGTTGCGGCAACATTTTTTGAAATTTTTGTGTTGGAGTTTGATTTCTTTCCTCATGTAAGTACCTTTTTAAATTGTAAAAGGCATTTGTTTTTAAATAAAATTAATTAAACTCCCTAAATGTTATAAAACAAGGTCAGAATCTTAGATTATAGAAACTATTCATATATATCACCTATGAATCTTAATATTTTGGAGTAGTTATTAATTTGTTTTATATTCTGTTATATTTTGTACATCTATTACAGTTAATACATCAATTACAGTAAAAGATATACTTACTATGATTAAATTTTTAAGTAACTCTAACAATTTCCCCAATAGAGAATATGCATGTATTTTTTTAATTTTTTTAAACGATTCTACTAGTTATTACATTACCAAAAATAAATATAACACATCCGAAATATAAACCGTTAAGCGATTTTTTTATTAAAATCACTATCATTTTGGGGCAATTTGAACACGTCCATTTTGGCGCGCTTTTTTTGTGACGTCAGATTACACTTTCAGACGAATTCGATGTCAACAACGGAGTGAAGTTCACAAAGTTTGTGAAAGTTAAAAAAGTGATAAAAATTAACTTAATACCATGGAAAAGCCAATAAAAACTTATTATAAATATTGTGCCGTTCCTTTGTGCCCAAATAATATCAAAACTGCACCTGAAAAAGTATATTCAGTCATTGTGTTGAGTCTTTCTACACGAGAATTTAATAATTTAACACTGAAAACGTATTAGTTATTAACTTAAAATGAAACAAATAATCACCAGAAACCAAATATTACAAATACACACAACTTGTTGACACTCTTGACAGTGTAGGTTGACGTCACGTATTATTCAACCAATAGCGTTGCGTTTTAGAAATTTGCGAGGTAATCTTAAAAAAGCCAATTTTTGATAATTAAATTTCACTATTAAATTATAATAAATTTCAAAAATAATTGTATGGGTATCTTTTTTTAGCAATAAAAATTACAAGTAAAAATATTTTGTCCATTTTTGTGTCACGTGCATATTCCCTATTGACTAATTTTATATTATTACCTGTCCATCGAAGTTCTCGTGGGTTTTAAAATGTCTGTCTAACACATATATCCATTTCCAGCTCTTATTATTTCTATGACAGATTATATTTGCTATTTTCCAAATTATGTTTATATATTTTTCCTGTCTAACCCAATAAATGTGTAGCAATGACCATTATGTAAGTGCTAATGGTGATACAACACTAGTAACTGTTCTGAGCGGAGCTTTTTCCTAGCATTGACACAAGAAGAAAGGGAATTATATATTATAATGTCTGTAACTGTGTGTTTGTTTGTGTTATCGTTCCTAAACAGACAAAAAGATTTTGATTATTATTCAAGAAAATCTGTTTAGCTGTTTGTACTCATGGAATGGGATTTTAGAAAGATATGCTTTCGATCCTGCTCTTGTTTGATGCCTTAGAGCTGGTTTGGCATGTTTTTAAAACTATAGGCTCGAACCGACTAAAAACCGCACGTCGTCACGCCGGGGAACCAGGTGTACCCTAGACAGGAAATCCCTGGTACCCCGATGTAACTTACCCCCGGCCATCTACGGCTTATAGATGACCCCCTCCTGTAAACCTGGGAACCCTGATGCTCCCTTCCTGCCGCCGAAAAGGCGCGGGCCTTCTGCAGTGCGTCGCGCATCCCGCCACCCCGGCCTGCTTCCGCTAGGGTGACAGATTGCCTCACCTGTCACCCCCAGGCCTACGCTTATGGAGGACGGAGGTCGTTCTGCGACCTCCGGCGCCTGAGTCGTCTGCGGTACCTGGCTCGTTTCCGCTCCTGTCGGAGAGTAATAAATCTCAGCGCCGTGTCCACAGTCTGGCTATCGCAGTTGTAGCTGCCAAATCTACCTGGGTTGTCAAAGCATGCCATGGTGCTCCTTCGACAATACACGCCACAGTAGAGACCAGTATGCTGACGGTACCCTATTGTTTAACCACGGTCTTTTGTGCTCATAAGAGCCTCTTGAATTAGAAATAAGCTGTACTGTATTACTGATAAGAGCGACGTAACTATTATGGAATAAGCTCAGAAACTCAGAACATATAAGTCATGAAGCAATCGTGGCTTGAAACGCTTATGCATTTCAGGCGCACTTCTTTATGGCACTTCATCTGGCACCAGTAGAGATAATTAAATGGGTTTCGCTTTAGTTCGCCCACTTACAAAATGGTTCTTTATAATAATGTAATCTGTCATTTAAATTTAAACATTCTGACACATGTCAAAATTTGAAAATCCATCTTCGTTGGTTAGAGCTCGGTTATCTTTCGAAATTCAAATAAAATAGATATCTGAAATAACAGTTTGATCATAAACATTGATATCTATCTAGCGCTTCAACATTTTGGATTTGAATATTATAACAAATAACAGTTTTTTTGTTATAACGCTGTCTTTTATTAACAGGAAAAGGACAACAGAACCAGTTTTCCGACAGACAAATTGTGCATGTACAAGCGACTTTTAATACTCCGAGACCGACTACGACTTGGCGTCCCCTCGATCAAGTCCATAGCATAAATCAAATCTAGTCAATAAGACTATTTATTTCAAAGTTTAATTTATTTAGTAAATTATGTGAAAATAAGATTTTGTTTGTGAAAATTTGTTATAGAATGGAATATAATGGATGTTATTTAAGCTGTTGTTTTTTTTGAGAGATGGTTCACATTTATTGTGCGAGGCCAATACCCAACTTTAACATAGGAAAGTTCAAATATATAAAAGTCTTTACGTTATCTAATAAAATTACCCTATAATAATATACCCTACAAATAAATAACATTGAAGTGTCTGTTTGTAATGTCAAAATAATAGGTTTTTTTATTTATTTATTTACAAGTTTATGCACTTATGTACAACGGCGGGCTGAGTGAGGTTTTTTTCTTGCTCATACGTCTATTTGCACGACATCTATGCCTAAAAACCAGTTTAAATATTTTTTGTCTGTCTGTCTGCTTAGTCCGGATAATCTTCAAAACGGCTTCACCGATTTCGATAACATTTTTTACAAGGTAGCTGTCTATATAAGGAGTAACTTAGGCTACTTTTTAACTCAGAAAAACCCTAAAAATTTTTGTCCGGTCCGGGAATCATGGACTGTAGCCGCTTATCGTACTTACACCACTAAGCAGCACTACAAATTCCACGCGAACGAAGTCGCGGGTACCAGCTAAATAATAAAAATCGTATATTTCTGGAATATATTTTTCCTAAAATATATATTATAAGAATGAAAAGTTTTTGAAGTCAAGTAAAGTTATTTATTAAATTGGTGTAAGTTTACATTATATTTTATGATCAGCTATGCCGTGATCTGAAGACCTTGAGAAATTTATTATTAACAAGCCATATGTCGACCATTATAGAATACCTATAAAAAAAGATATAGTGTTAGGATTGTTACGATTCACAATACAACTAAATCTGTTCAGGCATTCACAAAGTAAGGAACCCTGATTACATTAGGTATATATGTACTTATCCCTTTTTTGGGCAGTGGTGTAAAAATATTGTCTCACGACGCGGCGTGACTTCAAAAAAGTAATGTATTACGGTGACTATGATATATGATAATAATAATTTGACACATCTCACACACGGTTGTCTGATCCCAAAGTAGATTTCGCCTGTGCTATAGTAACCAAACTGCTGCTAAACATCTTTATATATAAAAAATTCGTTGTTTGTCGGCGATGAACTCGTAAACTGAACAGATTTTAATCAAATTTTGCACACTGTGTGCAGTTTGATCCAACTTGAGATAGATGGGGTAATTATTAACTAATTTATAGCCGCAATATTTTTTTATTGCAAATTATATAATTAATTACCCCACACTGACACCACGTTAGTAATATAAGGAGCAGTGCACAAGTACTTATATATTTCTAAATATATAAATATATTACTACTGCCTCGGTGGTGCAGTAGTTATCGTATGCGACTGCTGTCCTGAGGTCTCGGGTTCGATTCGGGTCCCGGGTCGGGCCAAATGTTTGTATGATCTGCAAATATTTGTTTCGGAGTTTGGGTGTGTTCTATGTGTTTATTTACAAAAAAAAGTATATAAGCCAATCTAGCTTTCATAGTACAAGTTCTGCTTTGTTTGAAACTAGATGACGTTGTGTGTTAGATGTCCGAAAATATTCCGAAATATCTGAAAATAAAAATAAAACATGTTCATCAAACAATGATTTATTTTTGGTGGGAAGTAAATCCACGAATACTGGCTTAACAGTCAGGTTCATCAACAGCCTATAATAGTCCACTGCTGGACTTAGGCCTCTCCTTAGAAAGGAGGTTCACTAACCACTAAATCACCAGACCAGTATTGTTCTTCAAACCACTCTGCTTCCTCTCACCAGTGAATTAGGTTTACAGATAAGCAAAATTAACATCAGGCACTTTCCGGTATTTCTACAATAAACAATCCCGAATAAAACAAAACCGTATAAACAATTTTTATATTTTTTTACTTGTGTTTATGATGCTAATTACACGTCACATATATAATGAGGTTGTATATAATTAATGAGATTAGAAAATAGGTGGTATAGGGCAGCAAGGAAATTAACAACCCTAAATTTAATGTTGCCAGATAAAGTAATAAATTGCCCTCATACTCTTTAAACACTGTCTGTGGGGAATAATAGGTTTGGAAATAAAGGAGGAGTAAGTATTTATAATGTTAAACAACACAGAATGGGTGAAATAAATTAGGCAGCATAATAAACCTTTGTCAAATTGTATAATAATAATAAAAATTGTATTAAAAATCGGTTCTCAAGCCCAATAACGAGGTATGTGAAGTATTCGAATGTTAAATAATGCGGTATCGTTTTCTTTGAAATAAGTTTTACACTTTTTTATCTGTGAGCTTAACCGGCGGTAAGTCGGAATCGGGCCGACTAAAACCACGTAGTGTACCATACTGCGCCTAAAATAGGAGGCATCAGGTAACAGCTTTTAATCTACCTTAACCTACTCCTAACACAAGCACTCAAGCGAACGGGTGTTTTGCTTAAGTAGGTACTGAAATAGACTTGCTTTATTACACTACGGTACCGACTTAATTTGAAAATGGAACAAATTTATGCATATCACTTACAAAACAATGGAATTGTTTTTCTTTATTCCTGACTTGCTAGTATATTTCATCTGATATTGTGCTCTGACCGCTTGGGGACATCTAAAGTATAGTGGATATTTTCCCTTCGGAAGTAGGGATCTATTTATTCGAAGACAGATAGTGGTTTCGTGTGATTTTACGAGTCATTTGTGTAAGCTGTAGGAGTTACGAATGGACGCAATAAATTATTCTAATAAATAACTTGTGTTGGCGCGTTTGGAATACGGTATTTTTCAAAATTTATCGACTTTTACTTTAATCCATGTATACGTCTGTAAGATACTGAACTACTATGCTGTTTCTTTCTAGTTAATTGATGTTTTGCCTTGCTTAAAAGATTACAATAACAGAAAATATTCTTAGGTGTAGATTATAACGGTATGTTGTAGCGGAGTTGAGGCCAAAATTATCTAGGTACTTTGAAACAAATGAAGCATACTTAAGTGTGAAATTTTCGTGTTTTAATCAATGAAATTTACGTGAAAGTGCGAAAAGGACGCGTGTGTAAAGGGTTCCGTATAAATTTATAATTATGTAGATAGTACATCCGTCTCGGGAATTCATTCGCGAAGACTTTGAAATATGTTTTCTTAACAGCTAACTGACGCTTTTCGGATTTTCCCTTTACTTATGATGCATACATTTAGATTCTTCTGAATATTGGATAACCACTTCCATGGTTAAAATATTTGTATTTATTGAAATATTTTAATAAATACCAACCATTTGAATGAATCTCTGAACGAAACTCATTCGTATCGTAATGATGTTATTTGTGTTTTCAATCAACGCTAAATTTATATAAAATAGTTAATTATTCGAAAATTAAAGGTTGAATTAAAAGAGAGAAAGAAAGAAAGTGTTATTGTTATGTTTATGAAACTCCTGAAGTTTAAATGTTACAGTTAGGTTTTTATCAAATTTGTAAAAGTCAAAAACTCAAGAAAGCCAGCTTGGAAGGCTGGCCTCGACTGGCCTATGGGTCTAGCGGTGGACTGCTACGCCAGAGGTCGTGGGTTCGATTCCCACCCAGGACAAATAATTGTGGGATGATGAGCACGTTCATTTGTTCTGTGTACTTTATACTTTATCTATTATATGTATGTATTTAGAAATATATATGTATATATATCAGCAGTCTGGTTACCATCGTACAAGCTCTGCCTAGTTTGGGATCAGACGCCGTGTGTTAAATGTGTAAAAAAATATATTAGAGGGACTCCATAAAAAGCATTCGTATTCAGCAAGTAATTAAACACCATACTTTCATAATACTTTATTTATACATAACTTAAACATCTTAAATTCATAAATTCTTATCAAAAATATTTAATCAAGAATAAGTATTTTAAGAGGGTTTCAAGTATGATAAGTTAGTTCTCATTTCATACCATCTGTCTAGACTAGTTTCTAAATTAGTACAATCAAAGTTACACCTTAAATCTTGAAACCATATTTTTAGTTTTAGAAGAGACTGTCTTAAAGAAAAAATCTTGAAGGATATGAACTAAATTTTCTTATTACATGCTTTTAAAATACATCCTCAAGATATTAATTATTACTACATATCTGAGACATTTGATTTCTGGGATATTTTTACAAAAATTACAGCAAAATTTACACGATCTTTCTCTTAAAGATTGATGTAGTTTTAATGCTATGTATTTTTATACATAGCATTAAAACTAAATAAATCCCGTTCTTAAGAAAGGACAAGGGTCTAAAACACAAAGTCCCCTGAATAGTTTTAATCTAAAAATAGCTTGGGCTTGAGGCGTAAACTGCAAACAGTTCATGCGAGAATTGTTAAGGTACCGGGTTTATGTAGAATGTTGAATAATATCAACGGGGCTATAAGTTTGTGGACTAAAACTTTAGAGGAAATTGAAATTAATATTAAAAATGTCAGTCAACTTCGGATGGTTCTCAAGATTTTGAACCCCTACTAGATATTTCTCATGACTGAAGATTGTTTAGATCATTGGGGCATCATCACATGGAGTGGATTCTTTGCCGCCATCGGCTTCGACTCGTCTCATATCTGTCAATTTATTGATACTTGTTGGCCGATGAATCTTAGATCTGCTCTATCTGTCGGGTTGATGATCAGCATCCAGTTTACTTCCATGTTACAAACCATAATAAGTTACTCCTGATTCTGATCTGACTTACTGTAGTGCAGATATATGCATACATTATTTTGTATACAAATAACTACTCGAATTTGTAAAATAAAATAAAATATAGTCTTATAGTTACGATTTGTTCAAGTCTCATAGTCACCCTACATGGATCTAACAGTTCAAAAGTTTGGTGACAGACTGCATTGTAAGCGGAGCTTTCCAGCGACTACAAAAGTATTGTTTGATGAACCGACGGCGTCGTTGAG